ACTATATGGGGGATGAATTACTATGGGGGATGAATTACTATATGGGGGATGAATTACTATGGGGGATGAATTACTATATGAGGGATGAATTACTATATGGGGGATGAATTAATATGGGGGATGAATTACTATATGGGGGATGAATTACTATATGGGGGATGAATTAATATGGGGGATGAATTACTATAGGGGGGATGAATTACTATGCTTACTATGGGGGAATATTACTATACTTACTATGGATGACACATACACATCATTCATCTACTCTTGGTCCGGCCCCCGGGTCCAATATATGAACCCATTGCGGCCCTCAAGTCAAAAAGTTAGCCCACCCCTGATCTATACCATAGTTTGTAAACGCTATAACTGTCACACAAAACAATCAATATACACTTATTGGGATTTTTTTAACCAAAAACATGTAGTAGAATAAATTTTGGCCTAAATTTATGATGAAATTTTAGTTTTTTTGGATATTTTTATGACAGAAATGAGAAAAATATTGTTTTTTTTCAAAAAATAGTATTTTTTCTTCGAAACTTAAATAAAATGTGCACAGGTGATCAAATACCACCAAAAGAAAGCTCTATTTGTGTGAAAAAAGAACATAAATTTCATTTATGTACCGTATTGCATGACCGCGCAATTGTCTCTTAAACTAGCACAGCGCTGTATAGCAAAAAAATGGTGTAAATTGCATTATCTATACCATTGTTTGTAGACGCTATAACTTCCACACAAAGCAATCAATATACACTTATTGGGATTTTTTTTACCAAAAACATGGAGCAGAATATATTTTGGTCTAAATTTATAACTAAGTTTGAGTTTACTGTAAAAAATATTGTTTTTCTTCAAAATGTTTGGTCTTTTTTGGTTTATAGTGTGAAAAATAAAAAGCGCACAGGTGATCAAATACTACCGAAAGAAAGCTCTATTTGTGTGAAAAAAGGGACGTAAATTTCGCTTGGGTGCAGCATTGCATGACCGCGCAATTATCAGTTGAATTAGTGCAGCGCCGAGTAGCAAAAAGAGGCCTGGTAAGGAAGGGGGATAAATCCTCAAGAAGGCAAGTGGTTAATGTTTATAAACAATGTTACTTTGTATCTCTCTATCTCCTGTCTGATCAATATTTAAAAACAATGTTACTTTGTATCTCCCATATGATCGATGTTTACAAACAATGTTACTTTGTATCTCTGTCTCCTGTTTATGTACATGATAAGACATGAGACAATAGTGCTCCTCAGGGATTTCATAAACAAGAAACCATAAACACAGCTGTGTCCACCACATCAGACATCCATGAGTGAATCTCAGGTTTCCATTTTATATTTAATATGCAGATCACAGCGAACAGAACAATTCCCATGTGGGTTCCAGAGCACAGAATGACTCCTGATCTGCCTCTGACACACAAAGTGAAGGTAGGATAATGGGAGATACAGTATTTTGTATATTGTCAATGAGTCGAAGTGAATAAACTGTCTTCTATGCATTGGAATGATATAATGAATGTTTAGTAGAACAATGCTACTGGGTTTCATTAACCCCTCCCCTTCCAGAGGATTTCCCCCCTTCCTGACCAGGCCATTTTTTGCGCTACGGCACTGTGTTACGTTAACTGACAATTGCACAGTCGTGCAATGCTGCACCAAAATTAAATTTATGTCCTTTTTTCCAACGAATACATTTTTCTTTTGGTGGTATTTAAGTGCCTGTACATTTTTTTTATTTTTTGCACTATAAACAAAAAAAGACTGACAATTTTGGAAAAAAAAAAAAAAATATTTTTGACTTTTTGCTATAAAACACAGCCAATTAAAAAAAAATAAAAAAATCAAATTTTGTCATAAATTTAGACCAAAATGTGTTCTGCTCCATGTCTTTGCTAAACAAAAATCCCAATACATGTAAATTAATTGTTTTATGTGAAAGGTATACACAACGTGTCTACAAATGGCGGTATAGATACTGGAATTTTTTTTTTTTTTAATACTAGTGATCAGCAACCTATAGCGGGATTGCGGCAGGCATTCTGACACTGGGGGAGGGAACTGACTAACTGCCACTGACATCCCCAGTGACACTATTGCAGTGATCAGTGCTAATAAAAAGCCCTGACACTGTACTAATGGCACTGGGCAGCAAGGGGATAACATCTGGGGCGGTCAAAGGGTTAACTGTGTGCTGTTTGTGTTTTACTAGGGAGACATTCTATGCAGAGAGATACAAAGCAGCATGTCCTTGCTGACAGGGGAGAGATCTGCATTTTATACATACAGACCTCTCCCCTGTCAGTGTTCCTCAGCGATCACCAGGTGCCGGTGGGGAATCGATATCTGTAGCCACCAATGGTGGCAAGGGTAGAGCGGAGCGTACCCCAAACCCAGAAATGCAACATCATGTATATACTGTATATGTGATTTTGTGCAGCACTGGCGGCCTGTAGCAGTAGTTCTGCTATAGGGAGGTCAGGAAGCGGTTAAAGGCTAATTTCACCTTTATACAAAAAATAATAAATGCATGTTTAACTTTTTTGTTTACTTATAGATCTATGTTTAATCTCCAGTAGCCATAAAGCAGTCTGTAGCATTTTCTCTTCATTCTCTAGAGATGGATAGAAAAGACAGGTTCTTAATCATGTGTGTGTGAAATAAATAATATTCTCTACACCAGGGGTGTCCAAACTATGGCCCTCCAGGTGTTGAGGAACTGCAAATCACAAAGATCCAGAAAGGGTTTGTACTACTGTGGTGACTTTAATTCTATTATCCATAAGTCCTTTGATGTCTCTGGCCCATCGCGTTCCTTGGATGTCTCGGGCCCATCGCTTTCCTTGGATGTCTCGGGCCCATCGCGTTCCTTGGATGTCTTGGGCCCATCGCTTTCCTTGGATGTCTCGGGCCCATCATGTTCCTTGGATGTCTCAGGCCCATCATGTTCCTTGGATGTCTCAGGCCCATCACGTACTGTGAGATATTCCACGGAGTTGATACTACAAGAATCTAATCTGTATGATCCCTGGAGATGTCTTCATGAATCGGAGAAAGATTTCACATATTATTCGGCACCACGTAGGTCCTACTCCAGGGTTGACTATTTCCTAAATGGATTTACAACTCCTACAACATGTCTCCAAAGCAAACATTCACTCTATGACATGGTCAGACCATGCGCCTAGAAGTGTAAAAGAGACTGAAATTTTCCCCGGTGTTTTTGTAGCATAATGACAATTCTATGTTCTCTAACCCTGGTATCCACTCTAACCTTTCCAAATCTCTGTGGGAATACTTTGAAATGAATGCCTCTTCAGATCCTGATGTATTTAGTGTTTGGTGTGCTCATAAAGCATTCTGCCGTGGTATGTTATTACAATTGGCTTCCCCGGAGAAAAGGCGCCGACAACGTGCTTTATCTGATATTTTAGCTAAGATTGCTAGTTTAGAGGCTCCACAAAATCAATGTCTTTCCCCTAATGTACTACAAGAGTTACAAACTAATAGACTAGCTTTTAGGAAAATTCTATTACTCCAGCATGAGAAGTACATTAAGAGAGCCCAACCTCTATACTCAGGGTAATAAGGCCGGAAGGCTGCTTGCTTCCTACCTCAATGCTAAACAATTGAAAGCTAAAATCTCTTCTATGTTAGATCCCAAATCGCATGGTAAGATATTCCATCCCAACAATTATTGGAGAAGTATTTCTGGCCTACTACTCCCAATTGTACAATCTCAAAGATGATCTGAACACACACCAGCCTACCCCTCATCTTATTCAACACTTTTTCAATAGCCTTTCACTACCTAAACTTGAGCAGCATAAGCTAGATGTTCTGAACAGCCAATTTCAGATAGTGAGATCCTTGCCGCTATTAAAGTACTACTGAAGGGGAAATCGCCTGGGGCGGATGGCTTCTCTACAGAATATTATAAGGAATTCCAAGATATATTACCGCCCCATATTAAGAAAATGTTTTTAGTGGCTGTAACTACTGCAGCTTTTCCCCCGAGATGTTGAAGGCAATTATAGTCACCTTGCCCAAACCTGGTAAATCCCCAGACTGCCCTCAAAACTTCCGCCCCCGCATCCTTACTAAATACGGATCTTAAAATATACGCTAAAATCCTGGATAGGTGATTAACGGTGACTCCTTCTCTTATCCAATCAGAACAAGTGGGCTTTGTTAAAGGAAGGCAAGCAGTGGATGGCACACGTAGAGTGCTCAATCTGCTGCGGATTGCCGAACTTCGTAAATCTCAGATTGTTTTTTTGGCATTAGACGCCGAAAAGGCGTTTGGTTGAGTCATTGGCAGTATCTTGAGCCTACTCTCAGTAACTTTGACATGCATTGTTATATTAAGTCGGCTATCACTGCGCTATATATGGTGCCATCTGCGCAAGTATTTACCTCTAATGCTTTATCGGAATCTTTCCTAATCACCAATGGCACCAGGCAAGGATGTCCCCTTTCCCCTATTATTTTCTCTCTAGTGATGGAACCCTTGGCGACTTCAATTCGACTTAATCCATTAATCTCTGGCATATCGATAGCACATACGTCCCATAGAATTGGTCTATTCGCAGATGATGTCATACTTACTATAACAGACCCGTTAGCTTCTTTGGCAGCCATCTCCTCATCCCTGGAAATGTTTAGCAAAATTTCATATTACAAGCTTAATATAACCAAATCATGTGCACTTCTGATCGGTATTACAAAGGACCTCTTACAATGTCTTAAAGACAAGTTTCCATATAGCTGGTCTAACAAGAAACTAGATTACTTGGGCATTTGTGTATCTTACCCCTCCTCCAATATGTTCAAAGATAATTACGAGAAACTACCGTATTTTCTGCTCCATAAGACGCACTTTTTTCCCCCAAAAAAAGGGGGGAAATGTCAGTGCGTCTTATGAAGCGAATATGGAGCAGCCAGTCCAGTATTTCCGCCGCTGCCATCTGTGTCAGAATACCGGGGTGGCTGCTCAGCTCTTCTCTGCAGCAGGACCTTACCTGTTCCGAGATTCAGTACTGTGCTGCGCTTTGTGAATGGTCCAGCGGCTTCTGAACGGGACACATGACAGGTCCCACACTAAAGGGAGGACAACTCCTGCGGAAGTGGGAGTTGGTACCTGTCAAAATCAGGTACCCGATCCCCTTCCCTCCCCAAAGGTCCGCAGCCTATTGGTCATCCCCTGTACTGTCTGCAGTCTCTTGGTCATCCCCTGTACTGTCTGCAGTCTCTGCTCATCCCCTGTACTGTCTGCAGTCTCTGCTCATCTCCTGTACTATGTCCGCAGTCTCTTGGTCATCCCCTGTACTGTCTGCAGTCTCTGCTCATCCCCTGTACTGTCTGCAGTCTCTGCTCATCTCCTGTACTGTGTCCGCAGTCTCTGGTCATCTCCTGTACTGTCTGCAGTCTCTGGTCATCCACTGTACTGTGTCTGCAGTCTCTGGTCATCCCTGTACTGTGTCCGCAGTCTCTGGTCATCTCCTATGCTGTGTCCTCAGTCTCTGGTCATTTCCTGTATGGTGTCCTCAGTCTCTGGTCATTTCCTGTATGGTGTCCGCAGTCTCTGGTCATCTCCTGTACTATGTCCGCAGTCTCTGGTCATTTCATGTCTGCAGTCCATTGGTTCAGAATATTTTTTTTCTTGTTTTTCTCCTCTATAACCTAGGTGTGTCTTATGGAGTGAAAAATACGGTATATCAGACAATTGTAATGGATCTAATGACAATTGGAGGTATGAACTTTCATGATTAGGTAGAATAGCCTTAAAAATGTTGCATTTTGACTAAACTTTTATACTACTTTAGAACAATCCAGCTTTTTTATTCCCCGTTCCTATTTCTGTAAATTAGACATAGCGTTAAAAAACTATATCTGGAAGGGAAAAAAACCTAGAATTCCATTTTCTGCTCTTACTAAACGCAAGTCTAGGGGAGGGTTAGGCCTTCCAGTTATTTCCACCTATTACTATGCTGCATTACTGGATCAGCTTCAGGCGTGGTTAATACCCTGGGATAAATTATGGGTACAAATAGAACAGAACACAGTCCCTAATCAGGACTTCCAGGCATTGTTAGTTGCAAAAATCATTTCCCCAAGGCTCATATATACCTACCTTCCCTCTATTTCCACAACACTTGGCGCATAGTTAATAGGGTTATCTAAATCTACCTTCTCTACCCCTAAACTGCGACTGGACACACCATTAACAGCATATGAACATTTTATCCCTAACCTTAATACAAAACCCTTGAGAGACGCAGGTCACCATACTTTCAATGGCATACACTTTTCACAATTAAAGGGGAATATATATCCATATCTCCAGATTCGTGACTACCATGGCCCCAATAAAAATGCATGGGTGGAAGTGGCATGTTCTATTGAATCCTCCAGGATTGAAAAATGGCATATCATGGTTTTATAAGTTCCTACAATATGACAATGATCATTCTACAATAACATGTATAAATGTAGGAGAGGGATCTGCATAAATCAGGGGTGTCCAAACTTTTTTCAAAGAGGGCCAGATTGGATGAAGTGAACATGGTGGAGGGCCGAACATTTTTCCGAACATTCTTTGAATTATTACAATTAAATGCAAATAAATTATTTTATGCCAAGTTAATTGCAAACGACATACTTTTCATTTCATAACATTAAGATCAACTGACAGCTGAGTTTTCACAATGTATTGAAAATAAATTTTAAAAAAACTTACCTGCACTAATGTGAAGGGTGAAAAAGGTAGCTGGAGCTGAATCTCTCTGCTCAGCAGCCGGCAGGGGAAGAGAAACACACTTCACGCTGGAAGCCCGGCCCTGACGTCACCGCCCTCTGTTGCTCCCAGCGCGGCGAGTCACGCATGCGTCACTGCTCTCAATGCAGAAGACTGTCTGCCTCAGAAGGGAGGGCCATGCGACAGCCGCATTTACACAGACCAGGGAGAATGCGCCGCAGTCAGGCATGCGCACTGCCCTCTGCTCTCAAGCAGAAGACTGTCTGCCATAGAAAGGAGGGCCGTGGGAGGGCCACATTACACAGATGGTTTTATAAGGGCTGTTGGAGGGCCATATTAAACCGACCCCCGGGCCGTAAATGGCCTGCGGGCCGGACTTTGGACATGCCTGGCATAGATCCTTCACTCAGGAGGAATGGCAAGTTGCTTGATCTAATAATATATGTCTCTAGAAGTGTACTAATCATTGGGATATTTCTCTTAAAAATCTGTATCATGGCTATATTACTCCATATAAACTATCTAAAATGTACTCCTTTGCATCACCCTTATGTTGGAGAAAGTGTGGTGGTGTAGGCAGTTTATTACATGTTCTATGGGAATGTGGGAGTATACAGGGTGTCTGGAGAGCTGTTTTTGCTCTGATTTCCCAAGTGTCAGATTTAATTGTAAGCCCCAACTCTAACTTGGTGCTGTTGAATCTTACGTTAAACTTATTTTCCCGTCCTACATCGAACAGTTATCGCTGATATTTTAATTGCTGCCCGGTTGATAATTACTTATACGTGGAAGTCCTCTACAATATTTTCCATTTCAGAAGTTATCAATAGAGTACATTCTCATTATATTCATGAGAGATCTTACACAATCTCCACTATCACCATAAAGGTATTTGACGCCAGATGGTCATGCTGGAATAGAATATTCAGACTTTCAGACCTGTGAGAGTTGTCTCCACTACAGAACAAAGAGTAGTATATGGTGCATTCTGTTAGATTTTTTTTTTTTTTTTCAGAGTTTTAGCTCTGTTGTTACTCCATCCCTTTTCCCCTCTTTTCAGTTATCTAGTTGCATTGTTCCTATCTGTATACTTATTTCTGTGTATATTTTGTTTCAATTTGGGAACCAAATTTGTGTATTGCGAATGTCATGCGTGATTTATTTGGATAATATTTTCTTATTGTATGCATTACCGCATGTATCTTCTCAGTCTGATTTGAATGTTTATGTTGATTACTGAATCCAGCTCATCTGGTTGAAAGAAGAAAAAAGAATTGTTGCTCTACATAAAGATGGCCTAGGCTATAAGAAGATTGACAAGACCCTGAAACTGAGCTGCAGCACGGTGGCCAAGACCATACAGCGGTTTTAACAGGAACTCAGAACAGTGCACAAAGAAGATGAGTGCACTGTGCTCAACGTCATATCCAGAGGTTGTCTTTGGGAAATAGACGTATGAGTCCTGCCAGCATTGCTGCAGAGGGTGAAAGGGTGGGGGGTCAGCCTGTCAGTGCTCAGACCATACGCCGCACACTGCATCAAATTGGTCGGCATGGCTGTCATCCCAGAAGGAAGATTCTTCTAAAGATGATGCACAAGAAACCCTGCAAACAGTTTGCTAAAGACAAGCAGACTAAGGACATGGATTACTGGAACCATGTCCTGTGGTCTGATGACACCAAGATCAGCTGATTTGGTTCAGATGGTGTCAAGCATGTGTGGCAGCAACCAGGTAAGGAGTACAAAGACAAGTGTGTGTTGTCTACAGTCAAGCATGGTGATCGGAGTGTCATGGTCTGGGGCTGCATGAGTGCTGCGGCACTGGGGGGCTGCAGTTCATTGAGGGAACCATGAATGCCAACATGTACTGTGACATACTGAAGCAGAGCATGATCCCCTCCCTTCGGAGATTGGGCCGCAAGGCAGTATTCCAACCTGATAACGACCCCAAACACACCTCCAAGATGACCACTGCCTTGCTAAAGAAGCTGAGGGTAAAGGTGATGGACTGGCCAAGCATGTCTCCAGACCTAAACCCTATTGAGCATCTGTGGGGCATCCTCAAACAGAAGGTGGAGGAGCGCAAGGTCTCTAACATCCACCAGCTCCGTGATGTCGTCATGGAGGAGTGGAAGAGGACTTCAGTGGAAACCTGTGAAGCTGTGATGACCTCCATGCCCAAGGGGGCCAAGGCAGTGCTGGAAAATAATGGTGGCCACGCAAAATATTGACACTTTGGGCCCAATTTGGACCTTGTCACTTAGGGGAGGACTCACTTTTGTTGCCAGCGGTTTAGACATTAATGGCTGTGTGTTGAATTATTTTGAAGGGGACAGCAAATTTCCATGTTATACAAGCTGTACACTCACTAAGTCATATTGTAGCAAAGTGACATTTCTTCAGTGTTGTCACATGAAAAGATAGAATCAAAGATTGACACAACTGTGAGGGGGGGACTCACTTCTGGGAGATACTGTATGTTGTGTGTGTGTGTGTGTATATATCTCTTAGATTGTAAGCTCCAAGAAGCAGAGCCCTCCTAACCCTCTTGTATTGAACTGTATTGTTGGTGCAATAAATGTAAAAACCTCCTGCGCTTCTACCTGAACACTAAATCTCTAAAGTGAGTGCAGCTGCCAACATCCAATCATATACCCATAGATCTATAGAGCAAATTTAAAAAAAAATGATGAATTATTGTTGCTGTATTGTCTCCCGTTATATTGTAAAGTGCTGAGCAAACTGTTGGTGCTATATAAATCCTGTATAATAATAATATTTTGTATGTGTGTGTATACAGTCATGGCCAAAAATATTGCCACTCCTGCATTTCTGTCAGATAATATATCACTTCACCCAGAAAATTGTTACAGTTACAAATGTTTAGACATTCTCATGTTTATTTCTTTTGTTTGTATTGGTATGACATGAAAAAGTGGAGAAAAAAAAAAGCCAAATCTGACACATTCCACGCAAAACCCAAAACATGGGTGAGGTGGTGTATTATCTGACAGAAATGCAGGGGCTCAAATATTTCTGGTCACGTGTGTGTGTGTATATACAGTGTGTGTATGTGTGTATATATATATATATATATATATATATATATATATATATATATATTGCATTTTACAAAGTAAACAATGGTGATTCATGCATATGCAAGTATGCTTTGGATAACAATGCCTAGGCAACAAGTGACATCAATCAGTGAACTTATAACACTCTCCTGGAGACATTACTGCTGCTAAAATCTATCATTTAGTTTGGGTTTTAAAAAAATCCATTTCAACCAGATTTGGCTGATTACTCAAATGTTTTGTGTTCAGCTACTGCTTCATGTTCTATAATTCTGTGCACTTTAATGTGTGCACAATATTTCGATCAAAAGATCGACTTCTGGCAGGCAGGAATTTTTTTTTTGAGCACACAGTGATCGAAATTCTGCTGGTCTTTGCTGTTTATCAGTCTGTGGCCAGCTTTAGTTCCACTTGGGACGTTTGCAGATTGACAATCTGAAAATGTGGGACAAGCAGATCCTTCCTCTGGATGGCCCATTACTGCTGTCCAACCTTCCGGATATGGTGGACTTCCAGATCAGCCTCAGCATCTGAAAGGTAGTAACAATGGACTCAAGTTTGGTGTTTCAGGTTGTTGTCTACAATTTCCTGTCTGTGCAGGGATTCCACAGAAGATTATTCTCCCTATCAACATTCTGGAACTGAGAGCCATAGGACTGACTTTCCTACACTGGATCCCTCTCATACACAGTCACCCAATCAGGGTGCAGTCCAACATCACCATTTCTGTGGCCTACATAAACCACCAAGGTGGGCAGCCCTAAAAGAAGCAAACCCAATTCTCTTCTGGGCGAGGAACCACATTCCAACTCTATCTGCATATAGGGAGTGGAAAATTATCAAGTGTAATAGTCACCAATGCTTAAACTCAGGGGAGTGGTCCCTGCACTCAACCTCTGTCAGAAATAAGGAACACCAGATGTGGAAATCAAGGCCTTGAGAGTCAAAAACTAGACAGGTTTGTATCCAGGTCCAGGGATAGTCTGGTCCTCATGGTGGATGCCCTGGTGATTCCTTGGTGAACATTCAGACTGATGTATGTATTTACACCAGTGAGAATTCTTCCTTGACTGCTCAACAAGATAGAGAAAGAACAGATTCTGTTAATTCTTGTTGCCTCAAATTGGCCCAAAAATGGTGGGGGCGAACCTTGGCCTCTTCCATACTGGCCAGACTTCTTGTCATAAGGCCCTATTTTCCATTCTGCCTTTTATTTGCTGGCTTTAACCACTTTCAATCCGGACACTTTTACCCCCTTCCTGTCCAGGCCAATTTTCAGCTTTCAGCATTATCACACTTTGAATGACAATTGCGCAGTCATGCAACACTGTACCCATATGAATTTTTTTTTTTTGTTTTTAAACAGATTAAGTTTTATTTTGATGCTATTTATTCACCGTTGGGATTTTAATTTTTTTTTTGCTATATAAAAGAAAAAGTCCAAAAATTTTGAAAAAAATGTTTTTCTTCTAAAATTTTGCAAATAATCTTTCTTCATAAATATTGGCCAAAATTTATTCAGCTATCTTTTTAGTAAAAATAAAAAACCCAAAGTAGTTTATAACCAAAAATTATAATTTAAAATTTTTTTTTTACATTTTTATTTTTTTTTTATATTATTGTTTTTTTTTTTGTTTTTTTACATACTGTCACCCTAGCAGTACAGTACCATGGTGATCACATGATCGGGACCTCGCACAGAGGTCCCGTAAAACGATCAGTGTTCTACTGTGTCTGGAGGACACAGCAGGCACCAGATCGCTGTGCTGCGCGCTCCCAGGAAGTGCACACAAGCATTTATATACAACGGCCGGACGGGAAGTGGTTAATGGCATGACTGTTGAAGCCCAGGTCCTAAAAGATAGGGACCATTTTGCTTTTCTTTGTCATTCCCACCTTACTCAAGTCAAGAAAAACTACCTTTCATAGAATCAACCCTTGGATCTGGAAGGCATCTGAACCCCCCCCCCCCCCTCCTCCGGAATATTCTTTTCCTTCCATCATAGCCCTCCTCTAGTTTGGCCTGGACCAGCATCTGGCACTTAGTACTCCAAATGGATAGTTTTGTGCCCTTTATATTTTATTCATGAAACTTTGGGTTTTAGATCTCTTGTTAAGACCATTGCACAGGGAGTTGCTCATGTCACTTCCACACTACAAGCCTCCTTTGTCTCCCTGGGATCTGAATATGAAACTTTCAGTGTCTCAAAGACCCCTTTGAACATTTTGGGATATATCTTTTTTGCTGGGATCTCATCTGTGAGGTGGCCTTTTTGAGGGCCATTACCTTTGTCAGATTTGTCCCTGAGTTGTCAGCTCTTTCTTGTAAGGAACATTTTCTTAGCTTGCATAGAGACAAGGCTGTCTTGAGACCATGACTCTCTTTCCTCCCCTAGGTGTCTCTTTCTTTCACCTCAATGAAGATATTATCCTCACTTCTCTGTGTCCTGCCCTGAAGCACACCAAGGAGATTTCACACCACTGGCTAGATGTGGTCAAAGCAGTTGAGGTTCACCTAGCTGCATCATCTTCCCTCTTCTTCCCTCTTTACCCTCCTGGAAGGTCCCAAGAAGAGACATTATGCTTCATCTTTCCACGACTGCTAGGCGGCACAGGCAACTTATTTCCAGGGCTTATGTCTTTAAAGACTGGATTCTTCCCTGTCAGGGCCCATTCCACCAGATCTTTCAGTGTTTCTTGAGCTTTTCAGCATCAAGCATGTTTCATATGTTTGCAAGGCCACCACCTTTTCTTCTGCTAATTCTGTTCAGAGTTCCTCAAAGTTTCATCAAGTGGTTCTCTAAGCCTCGCTTGATGCAGACTTTGGGTTTTAGGTCTCTTGACCCTTGTATTCTATGTGCCTATTTGTTGTTGTTTTCTGTGTTGTTGCCATCTGCTATATTTCTTGGTGATGTGCCATAATCTATAAACAAATGTCCTGTTTCCTGTACTGTATGATTAGGATAATGGGAATTTTGACTTACCTGTAAACTCCATATAGAGTACAGTGCAGGACACTGGCCCTTCTGTATGGTCCTGTGTTTCTCCTTAATGCTTGCTACAAAAACTGGAGTCTGAATGGATGAGGTTATATGAGGGTGTACTCATTTATTGTGTGTATTTAGAAAATGTTGTGCTGCCCTAGGCCCTAGGCAATGAGAGAGCGAGAGAGTTCAATAAGTGTGTGTTTGTATATATGATTTTCTCTCACTTTCTTTCTGTTCTCTCTCTCTTCCCCCCACTTTCTTCCCTTTCTCTCCCTCTCTCTCTTTCTCCCCCCCCCCTCTATCTCTCCCTCTTTCTCCCCCCCTCTCTTTCTCCTACCCCCTCCCTCTTTCTCCCCCCCTCTCTCTATCTCTTTCTCCCCCCCCCTCTCTCTCCCTCTCCTCCCCCTTCTCTCTTTTCTCTCCCTCCCTCTTTCTCTCTCTCTCTTTCTCTCTTCCTTTTTTTCTTTCTCTCTCTCTCCTCCCTCCCCTCCCCCCCTCTCCCCTTCTCCCCCTCCTATCTCTTCCCTCTTCCTTCCCTCTTGTCTCTTTCTCTCTCTCTCTTCCTCCCCCCCCCTCTCTCTTCCCTCTCTCTCTTCCCTCTCTTTATCCCCCCTCTCTCTTTATCCCCCCCCCTCTCTCCCCCCTCTCTCTCCCCTCCCCCGCTCTCTCCCTCTCTCTTTCTCTCTCCTTTCTCTCTCCCTTCTTATCCCCCTCTCCCTCTTCCCTCTCTTCCCCCCTCTCTCTCTTTCCTCCCCTCTCTCTCTTCCCTCCCTCTCCCTCTTCCCTTTCCCTTTTTCTCCCCCCTCCCTCTTCCTCAGATCCTATGGGACCACACACACACACACCCCACCCCTCCCTCCTCTACAAGGGCTGCTGATCTCCGTGCAGCAGGAGGGGGGGGGGGGGGTGCGTGCAGTCCCATACGATCTGTCAGTGATCAGTGTCAGTGTAATCTGCTGAATGAATGACAGGAGGGAGAGCCCACAGAATACAACACAGCTCACCTCTTCCAGGCTCTTTCATCGCTTCTCTCACTGCTCCAGGCATTCACCTGGTCCTGGCTTGTCAGCTGCTGGAGGGAGAGGTGCACGATCATCGCTCTGCAACTGCCCTCCCCCACATCGATCTTCCCGCTGCTCAAAGGGTCCCTTCTTTGGGAGCAGGGGCGGTGGTGCCGCGCCCCCCTAAAAATTGCCACCCTAGGCAAACGCCTTGTTTGCCTTGCGGTGGATATGCTCCTGGGTGTACTTGGGGCTTTTCCAGGAAAGCTTTTGCCAGCAACTATTTAGCTGAAGCTAATGCTATGTAGCCCATGATCTATGAATATAAGTCCTATAATGTATTCTATCATATAGTGTTTAAATGCAAGTCAAAATTCCCAATTTTTTGGGTATATTTGTCCATTACCTACTAATATACTTCTAATTCTGTTTAGCTAATCTTGTACAGCCATACAGCATAGTTAAGCCTAGTACACACGATCAGAAAATCGTACAACAAATATAGTTTTCGAAGCAATCGCACCAGGGGCAGACTGACCATTTTGGAAACTCGGGCATTGCCCGAGGGCCCAGGGTCAGTACGGGGCCCCATGAGATGCCCCTGGTACTTTTTTCATAGGCTTTTTTTTTGAGTTTGGGCAAGGACACAGGGGCCCCATGATCCCCTATTGCCCGAAGGCCCCATGAGCTGTCAGTCCACCCCTGGATCGCACAATAATCTGATTGTTAGTACACAGCTTTTCGTCCGAAATTATTCGAAGGGACAAGCATTAAAAATGTTCTCCTAAGATACCAGATCATATGATTTTCGTTTAATCAGCACAGCTTGTGTCCAAAGATACAATACAAATATAATACAATGCATTACATCAAATTTTTATTCTGTCATACAAGAATTTTCATAACTTTGGTAACCTCTTCACTTTCAATAAGAGACTAGAACAAAAAAAAAAAAACAACTTTTTTGGCGGGTTTTCCCCCACACTTATCCCCTTGGTACTATCTAAGATTATAAAATGTAATAAGTGATTATAACCTTTTGTCTATACATGAATTTAGCCAATCCTGATGCGGCTATTACCAATAAAGTTAATAACAAATGATAACAACTGTGCAAAAATAAAGATCTAAATTATTTACACAGAAAAGAAGCTTGCTATTAATCAATTATAACTATTAATCTTATAACAATATATAATGTAGCCGGTATAACTTTAAAAGTATTAATATTACAATGCAAATACGGAATGTTACCAATACATAGAGACAGCTACAGGAAAGATAGTTACAGAAAAGAAACATAGAATAATACGTTACGCCAGACATCCTGATGACTGGGCTTCAAAAGAGGAAGTGGGGGTCTTGCTTTGCTGTTATATACTCTTTAGAAAAGACCACTCCTAGACTCACCCACCCAGGTAAAGTCACACCGTTCCACATATCTTAACCTCTAATTGGTGGGCTCAAGACACTGGTCAGTTTAGGTCACCAGCTGTTAAAAAAAGACAGGAAGTCTCAGCTGCCTTCCTTCCCCCTCACCTCAATGGAGTCCTTTGAAGTGGCGCCCCCCACAGAGCTATTTGTCACATTCCCCTGTAGTGCTATATAACATGACAGCCAGAATTCCAAGGCTGGCTCATACTTGGACCCCTATCAATAGTTCACAATAATGTTCATGAAGGTAAAAATTATGGTAGGCCCAAGAATAGCCATTACACAACAGACGATCATTTGTCCGATGTTCTCATCGTGTGTACGGGGCCGTACATATTGTATGAAAAATGCAGCTTTTAAAGCGATCGTACAATAATCTGATCGTTAGTACACAGCAATCGTATGGTTTTCGTTTAACCAGTGCAGTAGTTGTCCAAAAATACAATACAAATACATTACATTCTTCAGAATTTTTATTTAGTTGCTAAAGATTTTTCATAAAATATACACTCTGGTGCTCAAACTGCTCCCAGTCTCTGAATGGATAATGAAAGCGCATCATCACACTGATAAAATGTTTACTCTGCATTTATCCTCTGATAGCTAGCTGACAGTGTTAGATTGACAGCTCTGTGCAATTCCGTGGAGCATGACTGATTCCCAGTGCTATCACCTACACTTGCGGTGATACTAGTGCACTTGTGACAGAAACAAATGAGTACTGCCCATGATACTCCTTCTTTGCACTAACATACAATTTTTCAGAAGCATCTTTCGGGGTGTACCCCCTGCTTCCAGTTTTAGTAGAATGGTAAAAGAAGACAATCTCTGAGGAAAAATAAGTAAATAAATGTTCTCAGTAATGGTAATTAAACTAGCATAGTTAGTGCGATAAGACAGAGAAAGAGCTATAGACTGGGGGAGGGGGGAGACAGTCACAGAGGGGTCGGAAAACTGTTGGATAGTGATTTAGAAAACCTAGATCTAGATTTAGGACATTATCTTTTGTGTCAAATAGAACTGTCATTGTTGGTTCAAAAGTTTTCCTTTCCTGAATAATTTTGAAATTCCCTTTGAGAACTAAGACATTAAGGTCTTCCATAGTGTTGTCCGGGCTGTGAGAAATGATGTCCCTCAGGTGTTCAGAAACAATCTTCCTTATGCTCCTTGATGGTGTGCCTATGCAAGTTCATCCTTCTTGTTATTAGTATTATACAGGATTTATATGGAGCCAACAGTTTGCTCAGCGCTTTACAATATAACGGGAGACAATACAGCAACAATACAGTTCAATACAAGAACGTTAGGAGGGCCCTGATCCTGGGAGCTTACACTCTAATAGGAAGGGGTTGGTGGAACAAAAGGTAATAACTGTGGGGGATGAACTAATGGGATAAATAGAAGATTTGATTATTAGCAGAATGCAGGACAGGTTTCCCTGAAGAGATGGGTTTTCGGGATTGCCCAAAAGTAGACAGGGTAGCAGATAGATTGGGGTAAAGAGTTCCAGAGGATGGAGAGAGACTCTGGAAAAGTCTTGGAGATGAGCATGAGAGGAGGAGATAAGAGAGCTAGAGAGCAGGAGGTCTGGGGAAGAGCGGAGAGGACGGTTTGGGTGATATTTGGAGACAAGTTTGGTGATGTAGTTTAGGGCAGAGTTGTATAGTTTGTAACTTCTGTCCTGTTTCACCAACATAAAATCCTTTTGCTACATTGATTGCATTGGATGAGGTACACAACATTACTGGAGGTGCAGCTGTATGATCGGGTGACATGGAAGGTCCCTTTCGTGATTGTGACACTTTTAGATGAATTGATTTGATTGCAGTTTGCAGTACTTTTTTATTGCAGGGTTTGCGTCTATTAGTTGTGACTTCATAATCAGAATGAAGTTTCCTGTTGATTAGTTTACGCCTGAGGTTGGGTGGTTGTCTGAAAGCCAATATTGGGGGTTGCTGGAATATTTCTTTCAGAGTTTCATTCTGTGTTATGATGGGTTGTTTAATGAATACTTAAAAGATAACTGTACTTTTATATATAAAGAAGTACAGGCTGCTACTCTTGACTTTCCATCTTATAGACCGAAATCCTGTTACTCGCCTGCTCCCCCACATGTGGCCCATGTCTTCTCCGGCATTTCCAGTAACACTGAGCCGGCAGAGAGAGCATTGTACAATGCAGTTGGTTGGGTTTCTTCATGTAGACAGCTTCTCTATTAGGGCTTTATGGAGAAGCTGCATGGGGGGTATTTACAAGCATCCAGTTGCCATAGAGAATCTCCACAGACACCCAATTCTGTGCTGATTGCAGGCAAAGGGGCGAGGAGGAATTTTGCAGTAACATTAGAAAACGCAGCTATGGTAGGACGTCTACCTTTCTAATGACATCATTCTCTCTGCCGTGTGTTCCTTTGGGGAACTACTGCTGACACGCACACCTACCTTCTCAGCCAGTGCCTGGCTTTACAGTCTGCAAATCAAGATGGCACAGTATGCTCAGATTGCCTTAACATGTTCTAATAGATGACCATGTCTATAAACAGCTGGAGAGCACAGCATGTCCAAGCCGGACCTAGATTAGAGCATGGAACACATGTGTCTTCTCCATGTGGGGCGCAGTTTGGAAGAAGCTGGCCTCCCATTAGTAGGGTCTGTTTGGTCTTTAAATAAACCTGCTTCAGCATACAGATGAATGGGAATAACTTTGACACGATGTCTAATGAATCTCCTCATCCCACAGGTTGTTTCCTTGACAGATTTCCATTTATTATTCTTCATAGAATCCCATGTATTACTTACAAGAACAAGTTGTTCATTTCTTTTAGTGAACATGCATTACGAGTCCTGCTTGTCATGTGCTTGTTACTATTTAATGACAGCACTTTATAATTAGTTTCATTGAAAGGAAACTTATATTTCTTTTGAAGCTTTCTGTAATGTGTATCTGAATATAATCATGTTAAAGGTCAGTTCTCCTTTATATCATTTTCTATCTGTAGCATATTCACTGAGGATCTTTTTTTCTGCTATATGCATTTATCTTTCTTACCCACTTATATTATTCTTCAGTTTGCTTTACTTTCTGACTCTGTCAATATTGTTTAACTTTACTGGTTGCTTTGGGTGACCTGTATGTATGTGTATAGCGCTATGTGCAGGGGCGGACTGACAACTCATGGGGCCCCCGGGCAATAGGTGATCATGAGGCCCCTGTGTCCTTGCCCAAACTCAAAAAAGCCTATGAAAAAGGTACCAGGGGCATCTCATGGGGCCCCCTAATGACCCCTGGCCCTCGGGCATTGCCCGAGTTTCCAAATGGTCAGTCCACCCCTGCCTATGTGTATGGAACACCATGACCACTAAAATCACCCTAACCTGATTATAACCACCATATTGCAGCTTCTTTGAGCTTACAACAATGTGTGTTTATCCACTTGAGCTCCAAATAAGAAGTGTGAATTCCCCCCCCCCCCCCCCCATTTCTACTTACCTATGTGGATGCAGTATCGGTCTAATCCTGCATTTGTCCCCTGCTCACTCTAAGTGTAAGAACTAAGCGATCACAAGACTGCTGATCAATGAGTTCTCATAGGCACTTTGAGCAGAGAGTGATGACTGTCAGTCACCACTCTCTGCTCAGGCCCCTCCCCCCACCACCACCCCCACTCTCATTGAATCTCTGGGCTGTGGAGGGGAGGGAGCTGCTAGCTCAGGTTCTCAGCACCTTGCTGAGAGGCTGAGCCAAGTGCTGCTCAGGCCAAGCGCTACCACTAGGCAAACTAGGCAGCCGCCTAGGGTGAACTGCTGCCTAGAGACTCAGCCACGGCTGCTGGTTTCCCTACCTTACGCCATGGCCAGATCTAGGGTGGTGCTGGGATGGGCTTTGGGGGGATTTGGGTAAGGTTTTATGCTGGGAAGGGTAATTTGGAGGGGATTTAGCTAGAGTCGGGATTATGGGGGATTTGTCCTAGGTGGGGGGATTAAAGGAAGAGGAATGATGCTGGATAGGAGGATTTGTTCTAGGAGAGGGGATTGGTGGGATTTGTGTTAGGAAAGAGGATTGGGGGGGGAATTTGTGGTAGGATGGAGGATTGAGGGAATTTGTGCTAGGAGAGGGGATTAGGGAGGGGGTGCTAGGAGGGAGGATTGGGGGGATTTGTGATAGGAGGGAAGATTGAAAATTTGTACTAGTAGAGGGGATTGGGGGATTGTGATAGGAGGGGGGATTGAGGGGGATTCGCGCCCAGAGGGAGGATTGGGTGGGTGTGCTAGGAGGGGGAATTTGTGCTAGGAGAGGGGTTTGG